GTCTCCAAACCACTAGTCCTTGTGTAATTCAGTTAATGCAAACACCAGGCAGCGTAACAACAAGGAATCGAACAGTCGACCTTCTGCTCTCAAGACGGACGCTCAAGTATACTACCGTTATGAGGAACTCAAGGGGCCACTGATGTTAGTTCGTTATAACCGTAGTTCGTTATAAGCATTTCGACTAAAATATACAGCAAGTGGGCGGGTCCAACACAACCAGTTAGTAGTATCTGTTAGTTCGTTATAACCGTAGTTCGTTATAAGCATTTCGACTAAAATATACAGCAAGTGGACGGGTCCAACACAACCAGTTAGTAGTATCTGTCGGTTCGTTATAACCGTAGTTCGTTATAAGCATTTCGACTAAAATATACAAGTGGGCGGGTCCAACACAACCAGTTAGTAGTATCTGTTAGTTCGTTAAAACCGTAGTTCGTTATAAGCATTTCGACCAAAATATACAGCAAGTGGGGTCCAACAGAGCCAATTAGTAGTATCTGTTAGTTCAATAACCGTAGTTCGTTCTAAGCATCTCGACTAAAATATACAGCAAGTGGGCGGGACCAACACAACCAGTTAGTAGTATCTGTCAGTTCGTTATAACTGTAGTTCGTTATAAGCATTTCGACTAAAATATATACAGCAAGTGAGGTGAGGTGGGTTGGGTGTGGTGACTCCAACACATTATACAAGCCAATTAGTAGTATCTGTCAGTTCGTTATAACCGTAGTTCGTTAAGTAAGCATTTCGACTAAAATATACAGCAAGTGGGCTGGGTTATGAGGAACCAACACAACCAGTTAGTAGTATCTGTCAGTTCGTTATAACCGTAGTTCGTTATAAGCATTTCGACTAAAATATACAGAAAGTGGGCGGGTCCAACACAACCAATTAGTAGTATCTGTCGGTTCGTTATAACCGTAGTTCGTTATAAGCATTTCGACTAAAATATACAGAAAGTGGGCGGGACCAACACAACCAGTTAGTAGTATCTGTCAGTTCGTTATAACCGTAGTTCGTTATAAGCATTTCGACTAAAATATACAGCAAGTGGACGGGTCCAACACAACCAGTTAGTAGTATCTGTTAGTTCGTTATAACCGTAGTTCGTTATAAGCATTTCTTTAAGACTTCGACTAAAATACAGAAAGTGGGCGGGTCCAACACAGCCAATTAGTAGTATCTGTTAGTTCGTTATAACCGTAGTTCGTTATAAGCATTTCGACTAAAATATACAGCAAGTGGGCGGGTCCAACACAACCAGTTAGTAGTATCTGTTAGTTCGTTATAACCGTAGTTCGTTATAAGCATTTCGAGTAAAATATACAGCAAGTGGACGGGTCCAACACAACCAGTTAGTAGTATCTGTCAGTTCGTTATAACCGTAGTTCGTTATAAGCATTTCGACTAAAATATATACAGCAAGTGGACGGGTCCAACACAACCAGTTAGTAGTATCTGTTAGTTCGTTATAACCGTAGTTCGTTATAAGCATTTCGACTAAAATATACAGCAAGTGGACGGGTCCAACACAACCAGTTAGTAGTATCTGTTAGTTCGTTATAACCGTAGTTCGTTATAAGCATTTCGACTAAAATATACAGCAAGTGGGCGGGTCCAACACAACCAGTTAGTAGTATCTGTTAGTTCGTTATAACCGTAGTTCGTTATAAGCATTTCGACTAAAATATACAGCAAGTGGGCGGGTCCAACACAACCAGATAGTAGTATCTGTTAGTTCGTTATAACCGTAGTTCTTTGTAAGCATTTCGACTAAAATATACGGCGGGACCAACACAACCAGTTCGATACATCCGTCAATTTGTTTAAAGCGTGTTCGTTATAAAAGTAGTTATATGTACTTGATCACGTCTGGGGCAACATTCTCCGAGATATAACATGGTCAGTTTGTATGTGCACACAGTCTCAGTACCATGCTAGCAGTTCGTGTGTTGCACCTACTCTGTTAGATTATGTCTCGTCTGGAGTAATGTCTTTAGAAATGTCTTCAAATATACACCCCATTCCAGTACGTCTTTAGTGCCCCTTAGTCGGCTATAAACAAGCCCTTGACTTCTACCGGAAGATGTCGCGTAATCCCCACCACTCGAAACATGTCACGAGTCGTATTTTGACTCGACCGAAGAGTGCTGAATGATGTGGAGTGTTGATTTAAGATTAGCGAAAGAGGTTGAAACTGTCTGAAGGGAACCACGGTGTTCAACTTAAGGTTTGAAATGGTCAAAGATAACTAAAAGATACAAGAAAAATGTTGTAAGAGTCACACACAAAATGGAAAAGCGAAACGACTCCAATATAGCTGATAGAATGAGAAACATCTGTCGAGTACGGTGAAACACAATCAGACAGGTTGTACGTTGTAACTGTTAGAAGATTTATTATTGTGTGGCATTAAAAGGTTATAACAAGGACTGGTAAGGTTTGAGACAGTATACAGTGTGTGAATGGGGTATACATGTTAACATGAAGCATGTAATCTCAGTTCGCTGGCAGTATAGAAACGCCCTAGGCCCGGACTAGTACAAACAGCCCTACAAACACGCATGCACGCACACGTACACCTACGTCAACGTACTCTGCCTATTTGTCAACATTCGCTGGGGAATGAGTGAGAAGCGTTCAACGTCGCTTTCAACAGTGTCGCAGTCATATAATCACATCATCCATGTGATGCCCACAAGCACAGATACTGTGCTAACACACGTAGAAGCATCGTCTATTTTTCAGCGAAATTGGGATTCGAACCCTCGACCGAGGAGACGGCTCTCTCTGTTTTGTGTATTGTGTCGTATAATTAGTATAGTAGAATCAATATACATAATGATATCGATTATTTTCACAAAAATATATAATTTTGATATGGAAGAGGATTAAACCAAACAATGATAAATGCACTGATAATCAATAACAGCTTCAGTGTAATCGAAATGACGTTGTTTCTATTGGTTTAGTATGAGATACACCGGAATGAGATAAGGCAACAAACCTACGTAACACGAGATTAGTGTTTGTCTGTTATAATCGACATTATTCCCTCAACCTATACTTATATTATACCCATTCACAATCGATATAAGCCTTACATAACACAAATAAGTTATTAAAATCAATCAAGAGGGCTGAACATTTACAAGGGATAGTTTGCGACATGCCCCGGGCACTATGAGGGTACGGAATGAACAACAAGGGGGGCTTACAAGTTTGTCTTACTAAGACCCGGAATATCTATCAGCTACGCTATAAGTACCGCTTCAAAGTTGTAATACCTGATAACGCTGAGAAGTATTAATTTCATTTCAGTCGATAAGTAACCTTTTAAAGCTTGGCTCGTAAATCCAGTGCATGATTTTGAAGACATTTCGCGCCACATCCAATGAGTTAAGACTTTTTGTTAAGTCTTGATGGGATAGACCTAAGACAAGGCGAGAGCTGTCCTTGTTGTTGCTAGCTCCGTACACGGAACATACCGAACATACGGTTAGATCCGTGTGGCGTTACACGGTTAAAGATGAGTACTAGACAGGGACGCCATGGAAAGAAAATGCAGAGGACGCGGCGATTTCTTTTTGAGTTTCGGTAAGTCAAAATGTACCTCACATACTCTGTAATCCTGAGCTGTCAGATTATCGTAGAACACACTGATGGATGTTTTAAAGGATGTCTAATTGACTGCGATTTTGCTTGCAATAATGGCGAACATTTAATATCGTAAAGGGTACACAGGTCGTTTTAAGAGTGTTCGTCATAAACATAGTTTATTGAATGCAATGTTGTTTGCAATAATGGCGAACATTTTATATTGTAAAGGATGCACAGGCCGTCATGGGCACTGGAACTTGCAGTGCAGAGTTGCGTCCCTTAGGCGGGCCAGGAAGTCATGTTCGAGGGTTCCAACCCCGGTTCGACCTGATTATGTGTCATGGGTTGTCAGTACCATACATGTGCTGCTTTGCTTTAACCACAGTTGTCAGCACCATACATGTTCTGCTTTGCTTTAAACACAGTTGTCACTAGTAGGAAATCTCGCATCACTTTTGGCGTGACTCCCATATCAAGATGATCTTGATATAATTGAACCACCGTTCAAAGTGGCATTGGACCCCAACACTCATGTTGTTAATAGGGTGTTAATGAGTTGGGTTTATGCCACACTGAACAGTGTATCACGGCGTGTCAGCACGATGTCACAAAAAAGCCAATAGTGGTACATTTCCAGTCTTGGACGATAACTTCTTGGTGAACGCAACAAACATGTGTAACACATGATATATTTGGGATTACACTTTCTCAGCTAAGTACAAATTCTAGAACTTTGTTAGGTTGAGTCAAAGCCCATACCCTCAGAGTCAGCTACCTAATCGCCAGTGTTACGACGTAAATTGTCCAGCACAAAAAAAGTCAGCGATCAGCGACTCACTGATATGGTAAAACTTTATCGACAAAACGTCATTTATCAAACACAGATATCACATATCAATAACAATCAATAACACATTTATATATGTACTGGATATTTTATCATTATGATATGTTTCCTATCTATAGAAAGGGCAGAGAAAATATTTATGATCGTGATGTTAGTAGACTCTGAATTTGACAAAAACTGTCACACTATCGACATTGTGGTAGATATGTAGTTTATATGCTTACGCTATCGGCCACATGTTTTACCTACACTTCGCATAGGTGATAACACCTCCATATTAAAAGTATTGTATTATAAACATAAATATTTAGAATATAACATGGTCGCATGTACTTTGTTTCTATCCAGTGAATTGTAAAGGACACAACAACTAATGGTTTTGAACTTGTCATACAATCTTTCAACGCACGCTTACATGATTTAGTTGATAAACGTCTGTCTTGTTACAAGTACTGTTTTAACGAAAGACCTATTAATAACTTCACTGTCGTTTTGATGAACGCTTGTATTCGTTCTATTCCTTGTTCTTAATCTCAGAACTATATTTCAGGCGTATGCAGAAGATGGTGGACACCGTCATGGAGTCGCAACGCTTCTACGAAGACTACGCCCGCCAGAGAGACAAGGAAGCGGAGGAATACAGAGAAAAAGACCCACCTCCAATATTCAACAAACGTCTGTTTGTCTCCTCCGGAAATGTCGTCATCACGAACGAAGCGAGAAAAATAATGTCACGTAATGGACGCGCAAGACCAAACTGCGAACCGGAACAGCTCACGAAATCAGATTTAATGGTCATGCGCAGTGTGGTAGAAGGTTTAAAACTCGTACACAAAGGTCACGACTATGTCAAGGACGCATTGAGCCACGTGATAACGTTTGAAACGTATGGGGCGTTTCAGTACATCGTGAAGCGACCATACGAGGATTGTTTGTCGTGCTATTACATTCTCCAGGGAGGTGTGGAAGTGACGTATGACATGAAAATGGCGGAGACACGGAGTGTTTACCAGCCCAACATCATCTACAATCATGGTACGGGTGAGTTCCTTGGTTTGGTGTCGCCCGAAGGACTGAGCGAGGATATGTCACCTCCCGCTACTGTCTATACGAAGGAGAGGTGCGAGTTTCTCAGGATAGACAGACAAAAGTTTCATTCCATTGTGGAGAAGTACTCAGACTTGTATGATGAAGAAAAACGAGAATTCATGTCACGTGGTCACTGTGTCCTATCGCGCATGCCCGAAGAATCGAAAGAAAAGATACTGGATAAGATTTACCGGCAGGTGGGGCATTATAATTTAACTTCTGTCAATGTCAGTTTAGTAATAACTAAACTATTATTCACTAGTTTCAATCTAACATACGCGTATTATCACACATTTACTTTGTCACATGTTTAAGGTATAAATAAGAAAAACAAACAAACTCTTCTAATTACGTTAAGAAACATCTTCCATTTTAGAATTGAATCATAAGCATGTGTTTATGGATCACTGTCAAACAGTTTTGAATTCAGACTGTCGCCAAAATGTATGCATGCACTGGCGACCAACAAAAACACATGCAAAGGCATTTCAATGATCATCTGATCACCTGGCATGTCAAATCTTGTAAACATCAAACACGTGTCAACCATTTAACCAATTTGAAGGTTTTGCAAGTTCTGATAGATTTGGCGACTAATATATCAGACGGGTGCAAACAGAAAATATTAATTATCAAAATATTTTTTTCAGGACTTCGCACCTAATCGTCAAGTCATAGCACAAGGGGAATCGTCGGATTTCATCTTCTTCGTGTATTCTGGTATGTGATGGAAATATGTACACGCAATGAGTTGAATCTTAATGACAACCTTACCATACCACATTCGGAAAATCAGCTATTATACCAAAGATGTGAAACCTGAAGGCCAAACCTGTGTCTGGAACTAATGTGCAAAACGATCTATTGGGTTAACACATTTGTGTCAATACTATCTCGTCAAAGCCTTTATTGCTTTGGGTAATATGTGTTCATCACAAACATAATCTGTTGTGTATACCAGTATCCTTGGTCCATATCTCAGCACCGCTTCTTTGTGAGTCCGGTTCAAATGATCCATTTAAAAATCTTTGACGTTGTTTCATAATTAAAACAGATCGACACTGGAACCTAACTCTTCTTATTTCACACACTTTCAAACTGGGGACGACTGATGTTTGACAGGACAAGGATCACTCCCGTCTTTATAACTTTCTCTTCAAGGGAAATATGCGTGAAGATCCGGGTTAGAATTGATCTTCAGTAACCCATGCTTGTCGTAAAAGGCGACTAACGGGATCTTCACGCTCGCTAACTTGATTGACTCATGACATTATATCCCAACTGCGTAGATCGATTGCCTATGCTGTTAATCATTGGATTGTCAAGTCCAGATTCAATTATTTACAGACCACACCCATACAGCTGGAATATTGCCTCTGATTCTCCTTTACATTAAATAAAAGACGGGCGTAAGATGCCTCCACGTTGAATATTTGAATACAGATGTCGAACTCTCGTTCATTTTGATTGGTTGGTGATTTCAAGCCAATTCGCAAGATAAATTCTGTGCTTGTATTTCATAGTTTGTTGTTTAATCATCGATATTTCAACCATGTGATGATGGTCCGTAAATAATCAGATCTGGATCAAATAATCCAGCAATTGACATCATGAGCATCGATCTACCCAATAGGGATACGATGGAACGCACCAACTAAGTCAGCGAGCCTGACCACCCGATCCCGTTAGTCGCCTCCTCCGAGAATCATGGGATGCTGAAGATCAGGGCCCCGTTCCTCAAAGTGATCGCTGCTCTAAGATGATCGTAACTCCCATACTTTAACAAAGACTTACGACTGTCGTAGCGCTACCATCGCTTTGAGGAACGGGGCCCACTTCATACCAAGATCCCAACGGGCCCTGTACTACGTGAGTGCTAATTTACGAGACAAAACTATGATGGTGAGTAGACCAGGAAATGTTATCTTCAGTCAAAACACCTTCGTACTGTCTTAATCCATCAGAAAATGATAACGATTTAGCTTATGAATGTTAATGTCATATCTTGCATCAAATTTATGCCACTTATGTTTGTTTACTGAATACAGGTCGGTGTCAGCTATATAAAGAGGTGTACGTCCCGGAAGCTGGTCAGAAGTCAAATTTCCTTTTAAAATCTTGTGAAGAAGGTGAGTTTCTCAAGGCCATACACATGATACAGGGTGGTGGGGGAGTCTAGTGATTAAAGCGTTCGTTCGTCACGCCGAAGACCCGGATTTCATTCCCCTCCCAATTTTTGGTATCCCCCGCCGCGATATTGCTGGAATGTCGCTAAAAGCGGCGTAGAACCATACTCATGGTCGGCTCATTGTCGAGTGAGGGTCCGGCCATGGTCGGGTTATGGTAGGATCATCGGTAGTCGTGGTTCTATTCAAAACCCCATCTGATGTGAATTAACCTCTAGTGTTTGGTTACAGGGAGTTTCTTCGGCGAAGAGTGCATCCTCGATAAGACAGGGAGTTACTGCACCGCTACAACAGCCTCGCATACCGCCATCTTCAAGGTACACAAGTAAGTATCTCAACGTCAACAAACGTCAGAGAGGAATATGAATTGAAGAAATGAAAGAACATCGATCCGATTCTTTCCATCTAGCGATTAGTGGTGGATCGATTACTTGAAATAATCGAAGATTGGTCGCAGTGACTAAACGACCAAGCAATCGATCATGTTTTCTCATAATCGAACACAAACAATTCTAGGACACTTGTTTTCATTAACAGTATTTTTCACTAGGTTGGTTTTGTCTGTTACATTTCATAAGCACTACAAGCTCGTTCCAAGTCATGATTGAATTTATCTTAAAGACTCCAAGAAATTTATGTTCCTCCATACTAGTCATCCTTTAAAGATGTGAAATTTTGCCAAAAAAACCCCAAAGAACTACATGTTTTTTTCCTTATTTTTGTGTGCATTAACACATTTCATAAATGACGCTATCATCAATTATGAGATTTTAACCAATTCCCAACATTACTAGCGATTATGCCATGTCATGTTCATGTTATTGCAGCAACTATGAAAGTATAGGTGTTTAACTCTTTGAAGTTTTTAATATGTCACTGTTATAAGGTAATATGATTATGTGTTTATCATTATCTCAAACCTCAAACAGCAGGAGAAAGTAAAGAAAATCAAAACATATTTTTTTAAAACTGTTTTTCACTAATTTTGATACTGATTTTATGAGTTTTTAGAATTGGAATACGTGATAATAGTCCTAAAATTAATTTACAAGGTAGATCGAGTCGCTTCGGAAAGATGTTATAGTTAAATATAGATGATGAAAGATCAAGCAAACGTAGGTTGTTATGAGTGTGTAAGAGTAAGAGGTTCTTTTTATATTGCATCACGACATAAGTTTCAGCTGCGGCGAGGAAAATTGAAACAGACAGCCTAACCAAGAAACAAATTTAAAAAAATATTTTTTAATTTTTTCTCTCACGTAATTTACAAACTAAGTATACATTTTCAAAAAAAGAATACATTTTTCATGACAAAATAGATTGATCTAGACATGATACGTTCGTATGTTCAATCAGAAAGCATTGACATATCCTGCACTGAATGTCAATGGTGAAACTGATTCATTGTGTCGGAGATTTTCCTTCTGTGGCGCTTCACCAAAAGGTTTATATAAGTGCCTGCAGACTAGATTATGTGTTTAATTGGTTTTGGGGTTTTATATGAATTTCTTGAAGTGTCACCTAAGTGTAACCCTAACAGTTTACTCGAGTGTACCGGTATAACCAGTGCTTCGAATTAAGGGAATACTATGAACTTCACGATGGAGTAAGGGGTATATTATTTCACGCCTCATTGTCAACTATGTGATGATTTATCCTTAACTCGAACAGCAAGTGGAATTACGGTGAAACTACACAAGGCGATTACCACAAACATACTTTCAGACAATGTGATAAAATGTATTCCCGGTCTTTTATATTTGCTGGAGACTGGTATCTACACAGTACGCACGCACTACGGATAACACGAAAGATGACTGTCGTGTTTACGACGTTTCACCGTGGTGCAAACGGATATTTCGAACTGTCTTAAATACGTTTGTGGTCTCTCCCCGCAGGTCAGCGTTTGAAATAGTCAGCAAAGATCATCTTCATAATCTCATAGAACAACATCGTAACGACTACCCCGACGAGCACGATCTGCGTGAACGTGGCTACACTATACATACATGGAATGACTTCAAACACAAGGCTGTCAGACAGTGTCTGGAAGAACGGGGGCATTTGAAGTACATGTACGCACGCGACCCGCGCATTGTGCGCACAAGACCACCGACAGCATGGTAAGCATGTGTATTATCATAAATTTGATTAGTTAATGCAATAACAGTCCAGGACTATCTGCCGAAACAGGCATAGTGGACGTAAAAGGTAAACTCGCGGCAAACATTATATGAATTGATTAAAGAAAACCAGTCATGATACCAGGTGTTCACGAAAAAGGCAAGCATTTCTGATCGACCAGTAACACTCACTTTAAGAGTTTGCACGTTGTATCGTACCCGGGCCAGGCAAAGCCCTTTCAGTTAATACCGGAAGTAAAAGTCAATGATTGTGTGACAGCCATGACTATAGAAAGGCCACAATAATGAGCAAACCACATCAGAGAAAGAGGTCCAATGTGTGTAGGTAAAGCTGATTATGATAAGGTTGACAAGATGTTCTTTGTTGGAACGTAAAGTGTATTATAGGAAAAGAAAGGGCCTTTATGAAAAGGATAAAATGTATCATATAAAAGTATAGGTCCACTTTGTGAGAGTAAATGTTTGCTATGTGAAGGTAAATGTTGGAAACTTAAAGGTTCGTAATGTAAAGGTAAAGATTCATGTAGAGGTCAATGTCCATTTTTAGAAGTCAAGGTCCATCACGTGAAGATAAATGTTCATTCAAAGACGGTAATTGTTCATTGTGTGAATCTAAAGGTTCATTGTGTAAATGTAAATGTTTATTCAAAGAAGGTAAATGTTAATTGTGTGAATCTAAAGGTTCATTGTGTAAATTTAAATGTTTATTCAAAGAAGGTAAATGTTCTTTGTGTGAATCTAAAGGTTTATTGTGTAAATGTAAATGTTTATTCAAAGAAGATAAATGTTCTTTGTGTGAATCTAAAGGTTCATTGTGTAAATGTAAATGTTTATTCAAAGAAGGTAAATGTTCATTGTGTGAATCTAAAGGTTCATTGTGTAAATGTAAATGTTTATTCAAAGAAGGTAAATGTTAACTGTGTGAATCTAAAGGTTCATTGTGTAAATGTAAATGTTTATTCAAAGAAGGTAAATGTTCTTTGTGTGAATCTAAAGGTTTATTGTGTAAATGTAAATGTTTATTCAAAGATGATAAATGTTCTTTGTGTGAATCTAAAGGTTCATTGTGTAAATGTAAATGTTCATTCAAAGAGGGTAAATGTTCATTGTATGAAGGTAAGTTATTTGGCATAGGTATTTCGTAAGGGAAAGGTACAAGTTCGTTCTTTGAAGGTACATGCTGACTATCGGGAGGCAGGGTTGAAGGTTGTAAGGAAGATACTCACTGCACCATCACGTACATTACTATGGTGTAAATGTCCTCAATAGTCGTGGTGGTAAGGCCGGGGATGAGGTGCGTTCGGCAATAAATCCTGTATAATAATTAATCTAACATTCAACATATTGTCCGACAAGGGGCAAGGTGATAGTAGGGCAGCCTTTGTAACACTTTAATAAATCCCAATTTAACAGGCACTTCCATGTTGACAGTAACATGTAACTTCAATCAAACTTCACATAATGTATATCACACACAATATACATTCAGTAGATGATTTACTATCTAGGCGTCAATGGCATATGACTCTCAATACATGGCCTATTGACATACTCACTGGGGGTTAATATCAGTTATACCACACTTGAAGTGTAATAACGTTTGTATTGCCTTTCATGTTAGTGGTGTTTACTACTTCTGGGGGGTTGTCAACATAATATGTACGTGTTTATTTAACTCCTGCTGGGGTATTTTTGATACGTGACAATAACACTAACATAATAGCACTTATGGGTTAATGGCCGACGCTTCATTCTGAATGACAGATACTAGTGAGTGAGTGAGTTTAGTTTTACGCCGCTTTTAGCAATATTCCAGCTTTATCACGGCGGGGGACACCAGAAATAGGCTTCACACATTGTACCCATGTGGGGAATCGAACCGGGGTCTTTGACGTGACGAACTAACGCTTAACCACTAGACTACCCCACCGCCCCGAATGACAGATACTATCTGTGTTACTGACAAATTAAATAACTAATATTTTTAAATGTCATGGACTCTACTTTCAGTATTAGACGATGAATCATAAGAATTATTGCGAATATTTCACTCACATTTTTTTCGAATTCCTAGATCCGATTCTGAAATGTGTATATCCGTCTCTCGTCTGTGAACAATAAAGTGGGAATTGTCAATATATCTGTAATAACTTTTACCGTGCTGAGAAATACTCTTTGGCATTCAAACTTAATGTTTTAGGAGATACCATATTTAATGAATTGATCACTTGATACTTTTACGTTCCTTGCCACCAGAGTTGTATATGTATTTAATCATTTCAGTGAGAGGAACAAAGAAAACATGTATCGGTTCATGGCGAAAGGTGGACGATACGAACCAATGCGCGTGCGTGAAATCACATCTCACCCTACTTCCGGTTCCTCCTCACGTGCATCTTCCCGCCCTCGCACTGCCATCGGCCTTCGCTACAACACACCCCTCTCCAACCGAAGCGTGGACGCACGAGATAAGGAACTGATAGGTATTTTATTATTTACTTAAATTTAACATTTAAAAATAATACGATAATAAACATGTTGAGAACTATAAGTCAGCCTTTCAGTCCATGATCATTCGATGAAATGTCTTTTTGATAACTCCACCATACTAGGTACCTAGTCTAATATTTGATTCAAATTGATTCTACACATTACGTTAAGAAGTATTTCAATAGAAACTACGTTGTAGATGACGACCCTGACACTGTGGACAACGTGCGACTGAGTGGCTCCATCACGCAGATGCCATCTGACATGGCACGTGTACTCGCAAAGCATGTAGGGAAGGTGTGTACTTCCGCATAGCGGACAATACAAACTTGGCAACTCAGGACTTCTTTGACCGGCATTCCAGAAGTTGAGGAGATGAAGAATGAGGACAATTTTATGGATATACAACTTCTTTATTCTGTATAGATGACGTTTCGACATAGATTCTAATTCTCACTGGCTTGAGAAGGACATTAGAATCTATATCGAAACGTCGCCTGTACAATATATACACATACAATAATGTTATATGTTGACTGACCCATTGATCTGCTATGTGAAAATTCAGAATAGTCTCGTATATGTTATTCTTTGTATTAAGTGTTATCAAATAAATGAAATAAAACCGTCAAAGTAAGTCAAGGTTGAAAAAAGCAACAAATCTAAGACAACTTTCCCGCTATTTCAACTGACGACTTTACTTTCTAAAATCACATTTCTTTTCACGAACGACGATATTAAGCGGAAAAAACCATCTTGCACATCATTGTAATAGATACTAAAATCATTTATCAAGTGAATACTATATTCATTAGTGTCATGATAAAGTTTTATGTGAAGTATTTTATATGCACTCTAGAAAAATGTTTCTATTGTTGGTATATGTCCCAACCCGGGTGAGACACATCACGAAGTTAACTGACACGAGATATCTTCCACTTTCAGCAAATGTCAAAAGACCAGATTCAGCAGATACTGCGGGTACGTACACTCCACTGTCTGACACCATATACAGGTGGGGTGAAATTGGGTCGAACTCACCTTCAACATCATTGCACACATATATCCACACACATGCACGTGTGTGTTTGTTTGTGTGGGTCTGTTGCTGTAGACGGATACATCTTACAGTTTAATGGTACCCACACACTCTGTTCCGAATCGATCACTTTTGGCGTCTTTCACTATGTTTGTTTGTTTGATCCGCAATATTCCAGCTTTATCTGTAAACTATCGAAACTGGAGCAGACAATCTCAGAGTCAGGCACCTAATCGATCAGACGCCTAGACCACTCAGCCATTGGAGCCACCGGGAAGCCGCGGTGGCTGAGTGAGTCTAGGCGTCTGACTTTGTGTGCTGGCGATTAGGTGCCTGACTCTGAGGGTGTGGGTTCGAATCCGGGAAGGGACTCAACCCCCAAAAAGTACTAGAATATATCCTGTACCTTACTGAGAAAGTGTAATCCCAAATATAACATATGTTGCATTTGATCACTTTTAAAATGGCATTGTGTATTTCACGTCTTTCACTATGTTTGTTTGTTTGATTAACGCCACAATCCGCAATATTCCAGCTATATGTGTAAACTATCGAAACTGGAGCAGACAATCCAGTGATCAACGTCATGAGCATCAATCTACGCAATTGGGGTCTTTAAATATTACGCTGCCCGGCATCGAACTTAGTCTACCGGGCCCTAGAGGGCACGGACACATGATATATATAGAGAGGTATATTCAAGCGTCCACAAGTTATTCCATTTTGGCGTGGTATTGTGGTTTCCACTTCTCTACAACACACAAACTGTTGTTCACAGGAAGGAGACTGTGGAGTGCTACTGAAATTACTGGATGAGAGCAGTGAAGTGGGGAGACAACTCCGTATGGCCATAGAAGCACCTTCGGGAAAAGAGGGATTTACAGTAAGACAAATTTGTGCATCAGCTCCTGTCTGATTAAGTTAAGTTTGTTTTGCCGCAGTTAGCATTGTTACAGCCATGCCACGGCGTTGGACATGGACAATTGCACCCAATGGGTAATCGAACCGGATTTTTAGTGTAGGGAGCTAACGCTGACCCTTTGGTCCATTGCCTTTTTGGGATTTTTGTTGTTGTTTTTGTTTTGGGGGTATTTTTACGATTATTTCATAATTATGTTTGCAGGATTAACAATAATCATTACCTGTCGACGCGATGATTAAGTGGTTAAAGTCCTATTATGTTTCTCTTCATTATGTATTATCAGTTTATTATGTTTGACTTGTCCTCTGAAATTTCACAATGTAATGGCTATCACTGGGACTGGTTTTGTGAGAAAGAAGGAGTGAGTGTAACACCGCTTAAACACTGTCTCAGTCATGTCAAAGAAAGTCAGGCTTATATAGCATTCGTCACCACTCGCCCCTTTCCGTAACTTGCATTCGTCACCACTCGCCCCTTTCCGTAACCTGCTTCTCCCGGAATAACACGAGTTGGTCACGAATGGCTTATATAGGAGGAAAGGACCTTAGTGGTGGTGCAGGTCTTAGACCTTCTCGTTTAAACCCGTGAGCTCGGATATTGTGACAGTAGTAAACTTGCTATTAAAGGAAATTAGAATATACAAGCAAGAGATGTTTGCACAGAAATACAGCTCCGAGTAGCACTATAAATAGCACATATTAGACATATTTTAGCCAATGAATATGTAGCATGACTGCGTCAGGGATGCCCTGTCGGTTGTTGAAAATTTTAAGAATGGGCAATGGCAAGGATCGTTGGCGGGCTCATATAAGGGAAGTAACTCTTGTTTAGTTGCCTGTGAGGCTTAAATGCATATCTTCCTCAATCTCTGTAGAAGACGACCGTTTTGATGACAATGAAGACGGATGACATTGTGAGGAAGGCGAAAGAGCTGGCCGAAAGCAAGGGCGATAACCCCAGACATGAAATAGAAGATGGCGGCCAAGAGTAAGTTAAACTCGCAAGCATGCTGGTTTTACACACTCACTGAGTTAGCAGGGGAGTTTCTTTGGCGTCATGTTGAACTTGACGTGACAGTCAGCATAAACTGGTTCGTAAAGTGACATCGTGTTCACTATGTCCAGCTGTTGTAGTGGATGAATTGTATTTCTTCTTCTTATTTTCTAATCATAATCATTCCGGGAGTTTTGCCAAGGACATTTGCGAAACAACCCCCTCCTCATCATGTACTGAGCACAAAGCTTCCACAACACGTACACATACAGAAATCAGTATACGAGAAATAGATCATTGCAGAATCTGTATCTCTATGTGATGGATACCTACATCCCTCAGTGGCTTGATAAAATGAATCGATCCTTCTCAGTCGAGATAATTGAAAAGTAAATGAGTGACTTGGTTTTATACAGCTTTCAATGATATTTCAGTATATCTCAATAACAACTCTTCTTACATGTGTACCTTATTGGAAATGGAACACGGATCTTCAGAATTAGGGGCGGTGGGGTAGCTTAGTGGTTGCAAAAAGGGGTAAAGCTAAACTCACTCACTCAAGGTTGAAGAAATTTAACATGTTTAAAATCACCTTTTCTATATTTCAACTGATTTTGACTTTTCTTTTCACGACCGACGCCATGAAGTGAAAAAATATACATCTTGCACACCATTGTAATGTATACTGAAGTTCTTCAAGTGAATACTTTATTCATTTGTGTCATGATAAGATTTTATGTGATATAATATATGCAGTCTTAAATGTGAGATTTAAAGGTTGGTATTGTTCGTACATGTCCGAACATGGGTCACACACATCGCTAAAAGCAGCGTAAGCCATACTTACCCACTCTTCAGTTTTCACAGAACAATGATGATGATAGGATATTCATATAGCGCACATATCCACGCAACTAGTTCATGCCCAAGGCGCTTGAGTGTTCCCTTGATCAACGGATATCTTTTTTTCTGGCATTCTTTTAACCATCTCAACTCCCTAGGAAGTATTCAGCTGATGCAGCCCGTTAGGCGCAGTTAGTTTTCACACAGCCACATCTTCACAAGGTACCAATTTGCAGCTTGGTGAACTGGGACACATACAGTATTTTGTCCATTGATACTGCACGTTACTATATCCGTAACTAGGTGTCTGCACGTGGTCGTGTTTCCAGCATCTGGTCAACTACCATCGGATGAGTTGGTTCTTATAAGTGCAGAGGGTTGTGTACTGCACACTATGCTTCGTGTTTCAGATGGAACACTGTCCTCCATGAAGAAAACAAACACGCTAAAGCCCAGATAGCAGCAGACCGGTTCCGAGTCGCGCATCTCTCACGGAAGATGAAAGCCCTTACCAAGAGACGGAGGCTCTCAAACAGAAGCTTGCGCCCCAGCAGACGACAGAACCGCCGCCAGAGAAGCCACCCAAGACGTTCATCCTGGACAAGATACAACAGGATTACCAGGGCCTCCATCCAGAGGAAGCCAAGAAGAAGGTAAAACTAAACTCGTTGAGTAGCGTCCAGTGATTGAGTAAGGAAATCCAAAGTAACGCAAGTTTATAGATGTTTACCGCGGTAATAAAACGGGTCTGACGGACAATGAATCATAGATGGAAACTTGAATCAAGGATTTGAACCCGCAATCAGTAGATACTGGTACGCCTGAATTAAGGCGCCAAAGGGCCTAGACAGACGCAGTTACTGGACATGTTCCTCTTTAGTAAAGCGAAATTTGTGAATGATGGACTATTTTATGGGATCGTCAAAATGTCTCAAGAGTTTTTTTATAACGCTGATAATTCCTCTTTGAGTGAAATTATGTATAATTTTAAGAATAGCATGGTATGATAAATAGATTTTTACCATCGCGTCACCGTGGGTAAATAAAATACCACACTCGGTCTCATAACGTACGAATTATACGAAACTCGTGACCATAATACACTTTGATATGGTGTATATTCATCGCGTACTAAAGTACACCATAAGACGCAGGTGGTTAGTATCTCTATTTATCACTATTTATCACCTGTGAAACCCAGGGACGAGTGGCGCATTTACATTGAAGGTTTTATTTGCGGAATGAATGTTTGTTATCAAACCTGGGAAATAACGGTCTTTACACCTTAAAGAGGCACGTCCACACCTCTGGTTAAAACATTGTTACTCAGTCTGTAATTCATATAAGTTAATGATTTGTAAGTTATGGAATCTAAGTCAGTACGTCTCATTGGCAGACTCAGAGAATGTAATTGAACCAGTAAAATACCGAGCATTTCATCTGAAAGTCCACAGCTCTGGTTAAAGCTTTTTCACAATAGTCATGTAGTTCACTTAAGTTTATACAACTTGTGGAATCTAAATTTGTACTTCCCATTGGCAGACCGAAACAATTGGATTGACCGCCCTTTTCCTGGCCCGGAACCTCTCTAGGAGACACCGCCAATCTTCCGACACAAGTTTACTGAAAGCTTCCGGCGAGCGTAGGAACGAGGCTGTTGAAACGCTTGCAAAGGTATGAAAACCACACATCTACTGACTACTTACAAGTTTAAGTGTAATATATTTTAGTTGATTGTTTAACGTTGCTAATAATATCCCAGCTGCTAAAGGCCGGCCAGTATGTAAACAATAGAGTCTGGTTCAGACAATCTGGTAATCAGCTTTGATCCCACGCGGGGTACATTGGCTAACCTTTTACTAACACCCATTCTAACCAGAAATCGTAACAGAGTGAGTGAGTGATGTACCCGTGGAGGTGATGTTAGATCACAAGCCACAACCGGAAATCTGTCTTTGGCAATGGTTCTTTACAATGGCACACATGTTTAAGACACTGTTTGCACATTAACTGGGCTTGATATAATGACGTTTTAGTGCTAGCATGATCTTAACTCCCATTCATAGCAGGATAAACTCATATTTTCCCAAACACCTGGTGTCATCGCTATTTGATCGTGTTTCATCAAAATATGGTTACGATAAGGTCGGAATCGTACTATGGACAAGATTTCTTGGTATTACGAAAAGGGTTTGTCCCCAGTCTAAGTAAACTTAGGCTCAGTATTATTTGTTACACTGCTATACTGAGTCTAACAAAACCTAGTAGAAGGTCGCGTCAGCTAACCTTTGAGAGACCTATGACCGTCCAATCAAACGCGAGACGGCCGAACGGATTTAACCAATCAGACAACGACTACTTGTTAGGGTTCGGCGGGACTTACAACACGGTTTTTGGATTTTCTCTTAGCTGGTCGCTGACACTGATCTATCAATAAACGAAAATCCGCATAAAACACAGATATTTGACCTGCAATATATACGCTTATGGGTTTCTAATGGCATGGTTACTATTTGCTTATATTTTCGCAAGATGACATCCAAGAATATTGACAAAAACGATATTTTCAGCGACTGTTTACTCATTGCGTGTATCACTCGGAAGCGATCATGCGGAAAATAGCATTCGGAATCGTTCGAGTTTTTTAGGTAAAGGTTCAAACGGTATGTGCGAATGTTAACATTCGCGATTTGGTAATGAGTGTTTTGATTGGTCAGTACAAAGGTTAGATGACGCGACCTTCTACCAGTTTTGTTTAGACTTAGTATAACAGTGTAACAAATAATACTGAGCCTAAGTTAACTTAGACTGGTTTTGTCTGTAAGATGCTGATAGTTGTTCTGATAGCCCTATGACGCGTTCGTTCGTCACGCCGAAGACCAGGGTTCGATTCCCCACATGGGTACAATGTGTGGAGCCCATTTCTGGCGTCCCCCGCCCCGGTGATGTTGCTGCAATATTGCAAAAATCGGCGTAAAAACTCACTCACACTCACTCACTTAACCAATTTGAAGCATGCACATCGTTGTCTCTGAGTGTGCGCCAAATATGCGACAGCGTTGATTGAATGTACTCACGAGAAACCACCAGGGTATCGTGTGATGTAAACGAAATCAAAAGGCTACACTTGAACAACTGCTGTATTCCGATGTAAGGCTTTATAGATTGCGATCTTTTCATTTCTTCAGCACGACAGCAAACGACCAGTGAGCGCCCCAACATCTATTTCCCTGACAGGGCACACGGCAGTGCGTGGTAGGTGGTAAATGAGAGTGTGCGTTTAACGATGTTTAGGACAATAACTCAGCTGTATCACAGGGTATCAGCTTACTGTCGGCGCAGGGGCGGTAGGGTAGCCTTGTGGTTAAAGCATTTGCTCGTAACGCCGAAGATCCTTGTTTCATTCCCTACATGGGAACTATCTGGTATCCCCAGCCGAGAAATTGCTGCAATATTGCTTAAAGAGGCGTAATACCCAACTAACTTGCTACTATGGGGGGAAGTCTAAGCGACAAAGGTCGCAGACATTTTGATCTTGTACTGAAACCCAGGAACTGCGGATCCTGCTACAACTAGGGGCACAATTCAGCAGACCCTATTGCACGAATTTAGGATTTGGTGACATTAAATTTGTAAAAGAATTCAGTAGGGTAAAATGGAAATTAAAAGGCATTGGAAGTTTACAAAATTATGTGAAGTATTTTATTCCTGAAGCAACCGACAGATTACATTAAATAATTTAGTTATATTGTTATGGTTGCAGCTTTGTTGAAGCAGATACGTCGTTTGAATAAGAAATCTCCAGTTGGTGTTCTCATTCCAGATCTCCGGATCAAATCGAAACCAGACACTGACTTAGCAAAGGGGAGACAGTCCGGACTGACACGTGATCAGCTCAAACCACCAATGGTGGTCCGAAAAACCAAAACAGAACAAACAAGAATGGCACCACGTTCTGCGCAGCTCGGACCGAGACAGTTCCTGTCCTAGCACGATTAAACCCGGATGAAGAACAATTCTTGGCTGTATTACTGCCATTTCACCTCCATTGACGCCACTTTCTGAGCGGAAGATGTAATGTTAATACCTTAATTCTTCCCTTCCACAACATCGTCATTAGGTCATTACACCCTGTCCAGTCAGATTCACTGAATTCAGATTCAATTAGGCAGCCCCAACTGAAATTCACAAAGTCACATCTTCAAGATGAAATCATCCGGGACTTGTCAAGTGTGTGTTAAAACGAGGCGATTGTACACTGAAATGAATGTGGCAATCCCAGTCTTTTTGAGGAGACCAACCCTCCTTTAAAGATCAAACCGCCATCGGGACTTTAGTGGCGTGTGTGGTCTCGTAACAGTCTGCAGTTATCTCATCTTGGATTCCACAAACTCCATCAACCAATCAGGAGCAACCTTTACATTGATGCCGGGGGCGAAATCTTCGTGTCAGTCGGACGATAAACGACAGAGTTGATTAAAATTTCTCATCATAATATTTAATAAAAAGCAAAGTATGGAGACAAATGTGTCATGGAGTGTGGTAAGTGTTTACCATGTGGAGGTATTCAAACCTGGACTGTTCAAGGTCAAGTCAAATATTGTTGATGGTATCACTTGCGAAAATAAACGATCATAATATCAGAAACTGTTTTAACAAATGTAGTGATTCTTTACATAGATATTTGTTACCATATTGGAGCTCTAAAGATAGGGGGCGGCCTAGTGGTCAAAGTGTTCGTTCACGCCGAAGAGTGGCGGTTTGATTCCCCATATAGGGAAGTCTACTTCTGGTGCCGCCCGCCATGATATTGCAGGTATATTGCTAAAGGTGGTCTAAAATCCAAGTCACTCTCAAGTTCATATCCATATTTGCTATTGTCTGACGAACAACCATTTTACAATATTCGAACAATAGACACAGAATGAAGACATGACACGTTTTATAGATAACAACTTCTTTCTGTTCTATATACGACATTTCAGAGCTAATTCTTGCTCCTCCATCAGGTGAATGGTGAGACGGTGCACAGGAATATGTATAGATAAAACATATTTCCTCAAGCCAAGCTGGGAGAATGTACAAAGATAACATTTTTCAGACGAAGCCAAAGAGAGATTAACGGTATAACAATGTAATGTAAGGCAAAGCCAATAATTATGGCGAAAAAAAAGTGAAATTAAAAAATAATTATTATAGCACAATGGAGTACACACTGGGAAGGTACATGCCTTGGTCTAGGTTAATGGCTTGCTTCTTTTTGGATCTCGATGCATTCTTGAAGTTTTCTCTTTTTCCAGTGGTTGATGTTGGTATGTAGAATCTTGGATTGTTGCCAGGAAATACGTTGCTCGGGAATTTGATGAAGTGAGCTAAAAGTGCAGATTTCATGTCAAATATTTCAACAGAGGTGCTGTGTTCTTTTATTCTGCTAGCCGTGGGGCGTGATGTCTCTCCATTGTATAAAGAAGTTGTTATGCTTAAAACGTACCAGCTCCTAAATGCCTTTCAAGAACTTCAATAGACACAGGAGTTGACGGATTATGATCAGCTCCATTTAAATGTACAATAGAACATGGCCTTATTCAGTTCTTTTGAAACTATAATAAAAGTTATTAAGATCTATGTTTTTTCGCCATGTTTGTCTGTATACCTGTCAAGACAGGCTACTCTAGTAATGGACCTCGCACGGTATCACCGTATTTGGTCTTCATCAGGACAAGCCAACGCTAAACATCCTGGCTTTTCAAAAGTCTAGTTTCGTATTTCGAACTTGTGAACTGAAATAATAACGAAATCATATGATAATTCATGTAACAGTTTTGGAAATGTTCTCCAACTCATTTCGACTGACATCAGGCTGTTTTTAAATAAACACATAGGACAGGTTTCCATTGAAAATAGAGACGCAAAATGAACTGTTTTGCCTCTTTCCCGAAAACCTCGAACAAACGCATAATAGGAGATATTTGATTTTAACAGTTGGTGTCATAAATATTATTTTTACAAGTTGTGTTTCTTGTTTAACGCAATATTTCATTTTCATGATATATTCTAAAGTTACAACCCATTATCAATATTATATAATATAATTAATAATTTCCGCAATGTCTCAGAAACTACTCAAGCAATGTGAATGAACTTTCCAAGCTTATCTATGACATGCTTATCTAGTCTGAGCTTTAAAACTGGAGCCATGAAATCAGTACGATACCTTGTGTTTGTTGAAGAATAAATGGGCAGGTTTGGGCTCTAGAATATGCATGATATTTAAAAATTATTATTATTATTATTTTTATTTTTTAACATTTTTTAAATAAGTTTATCAATATCACTAACTCTAGGAAGTTGGGATATCTGAACCGGGCCTTTCATACAAACTTTCACGCAAATCAGTATATACTCAGCGGCAAAACAAACTTCAGTACGAATTCAAAATGAGATAGGCATTGTAATCAAATCATTACAGAAATGGACGTAATAAGCGGATCAAAACCATTTTTTGTGTACAATATCTTTACACATCAATGAATAACTCAGCATAATTTCAAGACATTTACGTAAACATTCAGATGCAGTCCATTCAGACTCTTGACTTCAGTATCTAGTGTGACCACCACGAGCGGCAATAACTCCAGCACAGCGTCTATGCATGGAGTGCACCAATCGATTGATGAAGGTCATTGTCACCTGGAACCACACTCTGAGAAAGGCCTGGCGCAATAAATCGGCTGTGTTCGGCCTTGGTATGACATTATTCAGTCTCCTCTGAATTTCATCCCAAAGATGTTCAGTTGGGTTTAAATCAGGACTAAGGGCTGGACACTGCCTAATGTTGACACCGTTCTGCTGTAGTAAATCCCGTGTAGCTCTGGCAGTATGGGCCCGACCGTTATCATGCTGGAAAATGTTGTTCCGGTGACGCGCGAAATGTGGTATGACGTTGGGTCTGAGAGCTTGGTCGATGTAGCGCACCGCAGTGATGCCGCCTCCTCTCCCCGGACCAAGGTTCTGGAACATCACAGAACCCACTCTCTGGTTCAGGCCTATTCCACCCCATACCATGATGCTTGCACCTCCCCATGAGTCTCTTTCCATAACACATTGGTCTGAGTAACGCTGGCCACATCGTCGCCATATTCTTGTTCTGCCATCTGCAGTTGAAACGCAGTACCGACTCTCATCTGTGAACAGAACAGTTCTCCATTGCCTGTATCGCCAGTTTTGGTAATGTAGGGCAAACTCTAGACGTTCACGCCGATGACGAGGGGTGAGGATATGTCCACGGTAAGGTCTACGGCAATGGAGGTTCCCGCTGTTAAGACGTCGGCGTACTGTATCAGTACTGATTGGTCTTCCGTGTGTTCCCACTGTCTGGCGTGCTGTTTCGGATGCCTGCATGAAGGGATTCTGTACATGCTGTCGCACAACATGGCGGTCTTGTCGTCTTGTGGTCACCCTTGGTCTGCCAGTACGGGGGCGATCATTTGTGGTGTTGGTGGCCCGGAAACGTTGCTGCAGCCTGTAGATGGTCCGAACATTGACCTGGAAGTGATTGGCAACGGCTTGTGCAGTGTGGCCAGCTTCAAGTCTTCCTAGCGCCTGGTTCCTCTGAGCTGTCGTGAGTCGCGGCATCCTGCTGACGTTGTAATGTGAATGTTTCAACCAGGTTTGGGGGTTCATTTTATAGGGCTGGTTCTTGTGAACAGCACGTGCAGCATGAGTTGCATGAAAAACATGGAGAACACCGTACCATCTCCGAGGTCAGGTTGCGTTTTTGAGACCATTTCCTGGGTTCAATTCTGAGTTTGGGAAGGAATGTTTTTTGCTTAGGTAAAGTTGGAGATGATGTCAAAATATACAATCAAAACATTAAATGAGTTTACAGTTATCCGTTTCTGCGAAGAAAAATTCCAAACTGACGTTTCTTTTGCTGCTTAGTATATAAATGACATATGTAGTTTATCTTAAATACTTTGATTTCACTGAAAACACACTTTCATTTACATTTATATCGAATATCTGCCTGTTTCCAACTTTAGAGAAGCAGAACCTGATCTATACATCGTTGGAGAAGGTACAGCGATAAGAAAGGGGCATATACATACTAACATAACTTTCACATCCACACACTTCTTTACTCATTCTATATGCAATGTATTACCACCAGGTATTCAGACATATTCTTTTCTATGCAAATATTCTGCACACGTACACAAACACTTTTCACGTTGCATTTTCTGAAATATTCAAATCCAATTCGTTCAGTTTTGCCCTCCTGGCTCGGTCCAGACGGGTGCATCTTCCAAGATGGAACTTGGAAAAATACCATTGAAAATACGAGTGTTTACACGTATGGTTACATAGTGGGATGGCATTTTATCAGGACAGACATCTTAAGTTTCATACTTGTTGTTGCTTATTGAAGATAAATACCTGTCACAAGACTTGAATAAGTGGATTTCTTTATTAGAATCTATCTTTAGAAAACCCGGTCTTATGTACTTTTGGCAATCTCAATTGTTAACTCATTTTTTCATACTTTGCATGAAAATGGTGATTGAAAGACTTGTCCAAACCTGTTCCTCACAAGGTTATAACCATAGCAAGGCTTCTACATCCAGAATCCTGAATTCCGAGTTCTCGTCAGAACTGTATTTTAGTCAGCTCCCTAACAACCAGTGTTATCCACTTATTCAATGTCGCACATCATGTCACAGGTGACCAGTTGAACAAGGCAGATGGAAGAATATACCCTTGATGGAACGAAGCCGTAACCTGTGTCAGAATAACTTTGTTCGCAATGTATACGATGCATTTCTGTGTTGTGGTTACTCCAGGGAATACAGAAAAAGAATGTTGCCAACATACTTGTATTTTCACCCAAATGTGTTAAAGCCTACTATTCTATTTAAACTTAAAAACAAATCGCTGTACTGCGAAAGTTCAGCAAACTTTGTTCTCTTCTAAAATGCCAAGCTACAGGTGCTCTAGAAAAGTAGCTTATGTATCATTTATATATGTTTTTGAGTCAGTATGTTCAAAAATATAGTCAAATGTCATGCCATCATGCATGAATTTAGAATAATATTGCCCATTGAATTTATGTCGTGGATTTAGCCTTTTAGATTTAAATAGTTTTAAAGTTTTGTTCTGGCTCGCTCTTCTCTTTCAGTATAAGCTGAAGAACCACTAAAGTTGTTATAACCGAAGAAAACACTAAAACTAGCACTGTCCTATTGAAATGCTGTGTATTTTGATTTTAGGCATCTCCTAATTTTTCAGACCTGTGTTAAAACGTTGCCAGTGTACAGATAGAAAACAATATTACACATAAATCTGTGTTCAGTGAACACAAATACGATTGATTCAATGCTCAAATCCTTTTATTATTTCAATCCATATATATATATCCAGGAGAATGCATGTGTATTTCTATACCTGTTGACAATATATACTATTCACACTTTGCTAAGGATCAAATCATTGATTCAACAGAAACTATGATGTGGGGTCACATTTGGTTTAGATATCTAAGCATGGATCCAAGTTTTCAGTATGTCATTTGATCTTGTGGACCCCCATACCTGCTATTGACAGGAGTTGTGTACTTATCAATGACCCGTGCCATGATTTGCAAAATGGTTGTGTTGTTCCATGAAAACCATTTTTATGGTTACTCATGTATCAAGTGCATACGGATAGCTTAAAGTGGCTGTTTTCCTAAAGATGTGTTACCATATCATTATTTATCCAGTTTTAAATGGATACAATTTCAAATAATAAATCTACGTTTACGTAAAGTTGCGAATTTTTGGTGATCCTTAGCAAAGTGTGAGTAGTATATATTCGTTTTTACTCAGTACACCTAACGAAAGGAAATAATTCGTCTGTGGAGATTCACTTGAAAACAAAGGTGATG